GTAATGTCTAATGTATGTACCAAGTTTGAACGAAATCCATCCAGAAATGCTTGATATTTGATGATTTTTTAGCACAAAAATGGCCACCATTCGGCCATCTTGAATCAGATCGTGGAACAAATTGACGTGCATATGTATACGGCCATTTTTGATAGGATCGTCAAACCAATATATCTGTATATCTATGACATGATCTATAATGAATATTTCAAATTTGAACATAATCAGTCAAAGTCAAAAATATGGCACTAGAACCACATTTATTAAAACAAAGTGGCCGCCAGTCGGCCATTTTGAATCTTATCTGAAAAACAAAATGATGTGCATCAAGGTCTTATAATGTGTAAGGTATATACTAATTTTGAACAAAATCCATATGTAAACAGCCGAAAATGCTTGATTTTGATGATTTTTAGCACAAAAATGGCCACCATTCAGCCATCTTGAATCAGATCGTGGAACAAATTGACGTGCATATGTATGATGTATGTGTGAAGTTTGATTGTGATTGGATCAGGCATTTCTAAGATACAGGTCCAGATGCACGCATGGACGCACGTACACATGGAGGTCAAAACATAAGTCCCCGTTTTCGGACTGCGTCCGAACGGGGACTAACAAAAAATAGATTGTAAGATTGACTTACAGTTTTGAATTATGAGAAAAAGGTTTATTGATAACTGAAAGTCAGAGATCTGAGCAAGAACCTGCTGAAAATTAATACAACTATTACTGTAAAATCTGTATTAGAAGCTGCGGCTTCTATTAAAATGGTACAAAGCAACAGAGGGGATGCGGCTTCTATTAGAGCATCTACACATATGAGAAATGATGATTTTTTGATTCTCAATTATTCAAAAAGAATGGGTGCGACTTCTATTAGGGATGCGGCTTCTAATACAGATTTTACGGTATATCAATTATGTTATAGTAAAATTATTATCATTGCTATAATATTTCAAAGTGTGATGATATTTTTTCTTACCGATAAAGTTTTGAATTCCATAGCTAATGTATTGTAAGTAGTGAGAACCACATCTTGTTGAGATAAGATGTGAGAAAATTTGGTTCTCTCATTACCATAGTATGTATACAACCTAACATCAACATTAGGCTTCACATGCTCCTCAAACTGATCCTGCATAAAGCAACATAAATAAATGTTAGCTACTGACACTACCAAGTATCCTAAATGCAAATATGACGGTATCCTGTATTATCATATACAGTAAAACGTTGATTATCCGGACGTCGATTATCCGAAATATTCAGTTATCCGAACCTACTGTGTGTCCCCCAAAGTTTGTATGCAGGTCTGGCTGTGTTCCGTATAATACAAAAGTCAACTGTGAACAATAAATACTACAGTCGTCTTGTGTGATTTCCTGGTGCAACACTTTCAATAAAGCTGTTATCAACATGTAATCCGACATCTTTCACGTGTACTTTCATTGTTTACAGTGTCTGTGCAAACAATGAAACGAATTATAGATCGAATAATTTCCTAAATTCAGACAAGCCTATTATGCAACACCAGTGTTCCACTGTAAATAAAAAATGTCCTAAAAACACAAACTTCATCAAATGTCTTCTCCACTGTTTACAGTCAGATTCTTAAC